GAATCTGCAAACCAGCTGTATTTCATCAGTTGGTTTCCGTGGCATATTTGTGGTTTTTTTCAACAAAAATTAATTTTCCTCACGAAGTAAATCTATTAACTCGTGCTAGTGAATGAGGAAGATTGATTTCACCGAAACAACAGAAGTTCGAATAAGTTTGTAGCTGAGAAGAGAATATCGAAGGCTAAAAGCTTATAAATGTTTACTTATGCCATACACAGCACGTTACAGTGGTGTGTGGGTGTGCAAGTTGATGATTATGGGAGTTAGGGCACATTGATCATAGGCTGATGAGGTCTGATGAACCCAGTTCACTAGCCCCTTGGTCTCCTTGTGCGGCTTCTATTTATAAGTAAACTATCGTTGTTTGCACTTCTGTTGCGCCTAGCTGACATCAACATGTACAGCCAGATCAGGAGAACCTTATTTCTTCCGATGAGATTTATCGCATCACATTTAAAATCTTTTGTGTTAGCCAGCCTGCTCTTTGAGCCAACAGTCCTTCTCTTTTCGTCCGCGTTTCTTTCGGCAGGTAAACTGCGGTTTCCTTAGGATTAGTTTCGTTATATCGCTGTACTAGCACTTTTTTGGATGAAAATTCGGCGATTTGCAAGGAACACAGTAATACCTTCTAAATCGGCAGTAGTTCGAACCAGTTCAAGGTTGCGGATTCTGAATACCAACATTAGCGGGATAGAACTATTGGCAGACATATATTCTTTTATTGTCATAATGATGTTTTTCAGCATTGCAAAGCTGTAGGTTACTTAGGATTCGTGATCTCTGCTTATCTTAGCGGGTTGATGACTCACGTTTTATACAGAACATTAACAAAATTGGATTCTAATAAGCTGTCTAATTGTCATTAATATTATTTCGCTACTTTTTGTATTAACAGTGTGCCTCATTGAATTGGTTGAAACTATTACCGATGAAGAAAGCACCAGTTTCTTCTCTAAGAATCGGGGAATTCTCCCATGCCGGCGAACCTGCAAGAATAACCATCCGGTGAAACTAAGCTTGAAACTAAACCATTGTGTTTATCATTGAAATTTATTAATAAGGTTATTTGTTAAAATTTTTGTTTCGACGAACGGGCCCAATAACAGAGCTTCGGAATTTAATCTGTTCCATTATTGGTGAACTCCCCCCCCCATTTATTTCTTTTTTTACAGAATGCAACATTATAAATTGGCGCAGACTTTTATAGCAAAGGTCGTTGAACAGAAATCACAGCTAATTTAATCAGTCGCGAGATCAAGGCATTTCTGAGTTTCTGTCACTCTGTACTACTGAATTCAACGTAATCCACTCACAACTTCTGTAAGAATAGAACCTCATACCGCAACCTTGTCCGTTTTGAATTTTTACACATTCTCTGGCACACCGGTGTATAAGTATTCGCTTATTCTTGCCCGCCTCGCCACGTTTCTTTGCTTCAACGGCCGGGAGAAAATACCTGATTATTCCTGCCTACCCGATGTTGCAATGAGTATGTTTATTGCTTAACATGGTTTTTTCTTTGTGATTTTGTTGTCGAACATATCTCGTTATTGTGTTAGACATAAACAGGATTCAGCTTTATCTGACCTATATGTCTTAGCAATAAATGTTCTTCCTAATCAGATAACTTATGAAAATTATGCCAATGTCATGCAGTGGATGACTGGAGCCGGATACATGTTCTGATTCAAGGTTGGAATACTAGTATTGTGGTGCACTAAAATGGACTTTTCCTTTGTATGGTGCACCGGAACTCCTTTTTCTTGGCACTCTAAAATTTACCTCGTTGATTAATGGTGGCTTATTAGTCATTGTGAAGCTTTTGATCAGTTCTTGTTGCTGTTCCTGTTGACCTGTAGTCTGTCAAGAATGTTTCTAGAGGAAATCGGCAGGTCGCTATCAGCTGGACGTGTACACATGCAACAGTCGAACAACACTCAGCGCCTGTCTCCGGCACCAAGTTTTCTATCGTTGAGGTTCGTCGAAACGCCGAACGAAATACGGCTACGGTACAGGGACGCTTCTAAGTTCCTGATTTGGCCTGAGCATCCGCTACGAGAAGAAGGAATCGAGGCGGGAGCAGCCTTCGTCTATGACAAGCGTTCTCTGCCGCCGCTGCATTCGGCGCTTTCCAGATTCCGCAGTTCGTTCAACCTTGGTAAGACATCGTCAATGTCGTCCATGTCGCACAAGGGCTTCATCGGACTGCGAGTCAACACATTTCGCTTTGGCCCGCGACAAGAGGTGAGCTCTCATTGTTCTGTCGTTCTTGATTCTTTTAGTCGTTCAGCTGGAATAAAGTCAATTTTTCGCGAAAACCGAAACAAAATTTTATGCTTATTCTTAAGCTGCTAGCCTCTTGTCGAAGCCAAACTGCGGATGCACCAAGAATTTCGGTTCACCCAGGAACTCGGTTTCAATATCTGGTCGCTGTTAGCCAGCACTAGGGTCATTTACCAAAGGCTAAATACATATAATCACCTTTTCATTTTAGTTGATCTAGCATTGCTGCAAGCCGTTGCTATGTTCATGTGTTTGTTGAGCTGTTTGCATAAGCAGAACGTTTTGGTTTGTAATGTCTACTGGTTTTTCTACTTTTCTGGTTTGTGATACCTGAGGCTTGTGAAAACTTTTGTTATATAACACCGGCTATTGTATCGCAGAAAGAAATATTCCTTTCCAGAGGCAAATCTGCCGTAAGTTTCTTCCGCCATGTTGTGTGCTAACCTCCTGATAGATCTCTGTCGTGCTTTGGCTCCCACTCGACAAGTTCCCGGTCTGGAGTAAATGGTTTTTGATGAAATAGTTTGTCTCACAGGGCCAACCTCGTTTGCTTAGTTTCATACGATCGTCGTTCATTAAGTCTTCCCGCCGTTTAGTCGCCGTTATACCCTGAGGCCAAACCAATGCACTTTAACTGTCGCTCTTCGTTTTTCTTTAGAATAGATATTTCCATGCCGTACAACAGCACTGACCTGACTGAAGGAACAGGCGGCTTTTCATGGGAAGAGTAAATTCTTTTTCAACCCATTTATCTGCCTGGTTTTCAAAAGCACTCGAGGCAAGGGCGATCCTTCTGTTTAACTCTGGCTGGAGATACCGCCATCGCTGTAAACGATAGAGCCGAGATAGTTATACTGATCAACTGCCTTAAGCGTTGCTCATCCTTGTTCCACTTGTAGGTCAGCTTGCTAGATGAATTCCCCGTAAAATTTGACTTCTGGGCATTAAGGAAGACGCTGACTGTCACAGCTGTGCTGCATACGGAAGCCATCAGTTGCCAAAACCCGCTCCCTATACTACTGGCTAGGACAGTATCTGCATTCTCCAAGTGAGCAAGATATAATTGTTTAATATATTTTGAACTGCATCTTCTCTCTAAAGTGAGGTCTTCATCTTTGCCATGGTCAGCACTGTTTCGAAAATGAAAATCTGAAACTGTTAAATAGCATAAGCGAAAGCGTAGATCCCTGGCGAACTCCGCAGCAAATAGGATAACCCCTGACAGGCAACACATAAGCCAAATCTGTCCGTGACATTCTGGGTTTGCAAAGCTAGTTTTTGGTACCGTTGGTCAGCATAACATTTACATGTCGCTTTTCTGCATTCGCAGCTTGTATCTGCGCTCTCCCCTGTCCTTAACGGCCTGTTGGGTATATTTAGTATGCAACATGTCCATGGTATTATGGCACTCGCAGTGCATGACCGCAGTACAGTCACTGTTCTTGTCAGACAAGAGTATGTTTAGCGCTTACAGCGTTTCGTTTGATTCTCGGTTTGACTCTTGTCTGCTTTCCATATGGTCTGACTTAGAAAACCCGTCTTGCGAATTTCCCCTGGCATCCTGATCGCAGTCAGATCGCCGACACAAGTTGGTGCAAATTTACAGCATTTTCTCTGGAAAATTCATAAGATAATTTTGCATAAAATTTGAGTATTGAAAATTAGGCGTCATTCTTCAATGGTGACTGCGGCCAATAGCTTTTGTCCTTAAAACATGATGTATATCCGTGTCGTTAACTTTTTTGCTCAACTCTGCTGTTTTCAGGTTAACAGGAGTTTCAACCAGCTGAATTATATACCAGAAGTGATTCATTTTTAATCGCTGTTGCCATATCAGTTCGAACGAAAAAGTTGCGTAAGGTATTGAACATTCCGTTAAACCACCAGGATGTTTTATGTCGGACATTTCTAGACTTGCTTCATAAGCATTTTTTGTCTGTAACAGATTCAAATATTTAAGAATACGACATGGTTTCATAACAGAATGTTGAACAGGGATTAAATTTGTTGTTCGCGTGGAGTTATTCATACTGAGAAACTGACTTTAACGCAGACTACTAATGTATGCTTTATTACTGCAGGCTGCCACCCCAATTTTAAGTACATACCTCTTCAAGGCATGGTGTCAGGTGCTCGGTTTTCGTCGTTGAAACCTAGCATCTGCTTCAATCGACAAAAATGATTGAACATATATCGATTCGCCCTAACGAATAGTTCCTGAGGTATACATCGAAACGTCTAGGGGTATTTTATGCACCATAATTTTCGCATCTCGGTGTTGCTAAAGATACTGGCGGCTACAGTGTCTAAGCGTTCTGTTACGGTCCCTCTGTCAGCTTGCAAAAGGTTAGAAATCAAACTAAGCCTCCTCTTCAACAGCGGTACCATACATAGGTATTTAGCACAAGAATGATCATACTGCATCATTATTCTTGGGCATTAACCAAAAACGTGTTGTTATTCATGAGCAGGGAGGTTCGCTCGAAAGATATGCTTTCTGTTCCGCTCTGTTATTCGTACGCGACAGTTAACTAGGTTCCCACCCAAGCCTTTATTGGATCTCCTGTTTTTCAGAGATAATCTCAAGGTCAGCACACAGCTCTTGAATGACATGAGACAGTGCTAGGTAATGGCAGGAATGGAGGATCCTTAGTGCCACTTTTTACTGCATCTCTTAAACAAGGTTCGAGATATTTAAATCAAAATTTCTTAATATTCACGATTGGTCGAAATATTTCAGGCGTCAGCTCATCTGATCGTAGATGAGAATCGTCGTCTTTCATCCTTGCGAGGTTGATAAATGATTATCACTATCTGGAAATGAAACAAGAGATTGGCAGTTGTTGTGGCTAATTCAGGAACAGTCTATTCCTAGCTGTCGGCATCGTGACATAGATTAGCGTATCATACTGTGTACTGTGAATGTTATCCATTACTTCAGTGCATGAAGCATTGACGTCACAGTGATCGCCTGTTCACCTTTCCCTTCATGGTTTTTAGAAGTGGAACAAATGCAGACAGTCGACGTAGTTCATTCGGTTTGGAACCTTTTCGGTTGACAGCCATTTCCGTGAACGCTATTATTTCGAATCCGGCCATTTGGCTGTCGTGCATCCAAAGCATCGTTAGCTGTTCAATCATTGTGTTTTGTTTCTCGTCAAACAGCGGTGCATTGCACCATATCGCTTGCAACTATTTACATAGTAAACGCGAACTTGAGGTAGATTCGAGGAACGTAACTAGCTGTGCTTTAAGCTTCTTCATCTTCCATCGCCGCTTCTCCTTTCGGGTCGCGGAGGCAGACGCGTCAGACATAACTTCCATCGTTCCCGATGCTATGCCAGAGTCTGAGCTTCGGCAAAAGGCAAATGGAGTCTGAAACAGACTCCTTCCATATATTTGCACCAGGTTAATCTTGGCCGTCCCCTAGACCTTCTGCCGGTCAGATTTGCAAGGAACAGTTGCTTCGCCTTCCTTTCTGCAGACATTCGCAACACATGCAAAAGGCGTCGCAGCTGTGACTTCTCAATCTGGAAAAGCAAAGGCTGTATTCCAAGGCTCCTCCGGATGTCACTATTCCGGACCATGTCGAGACGCGTAAGGCCA